CCTTACAGGTCAGATAACCAGAACAGGAAGTTCCTGACAGGTCAGATAACCATAACAGGAAGTTCCTGACAGGTCCTAGAATCGGAACAGGAAGTTCCTTACAGGTCAGATAACCATAACAGGAAGTTCCTGACAGGTCCTAGAATCGGAACAGGAAGTTCCTTACAGGTCAGATAACCATAACAGGAAGTTCCTGACAGGTCAGATAACCAGAACAGGAAGTTCCTGACAGTTTAGATAACCGGAACAGGAAGTTCCTGACAGGTCAGATAACCAGAACAGGGAGTTCCTGACAGGTCCTAGAACCAGAACAGGAAGTTCTTTGTGTTTTTGTTGAACCCTGAGCTGCAGCTGCTATTGAGTCGTTTATAATTTAGTTCATTCATTCATTCATTCATTCATCTGAGAGAAATCATCAGGTGACTTTCTGCTGCTTCTGAATGAGGACTAAACCTGTGGTTCTCAGAGTCCGGTTCAGGACCTGAACTTGATGAGACGCCCAGGAGTAAAAGGTCTGGGTCCGAAGCTGCAGAGATTAGGAGTTAAACAAGAAAACAAAGATTAAAGATTCAGAGACTTAATCCAGGAATTGTTTCTAATCTGAGCTCCAGGAACTAAAGATGAAGAATTATTATAAAAGAAATCTGAGCCTTTAAAGAACAAATCTGTTTGTTTTCACTGTAACAGAACAGAGTTCTGACTTTAAACCCCTAAAATCCACATTTCAACAAGAAAAAACTCTTCACAAACCCCTGAAGGTCCATCAGACTCGTGTGGTCCATCAGACCCGTGTGGTCCATCAGACCCGTTTGGTCCATCAGACCCGTGTGGTCCATCAGACCCGTGTGGTCCATCAGACCCGTGTTCAGTTCTCAGGTCCTGCTGCCTTTCTTTTTAAAACCCTTCATTCTGACAATCCTGGGTTCCAGCAGGATGATGCTGAGTCAGCACCACACCAAGCTGTGAATAAAACCTGTGGTTCTGCCTCGACCCGACCTGCCAGTCCAGTGTGTAAATAAGTCCACTTCGCCCGTCGCCGAGGTCGTGTGGACGTGTCGCCGGTGCCGCCAGCTTCCCGAGAAAGAAGATCGACGTCTATTTTGATACCAGAGGAGAAGTTTATTTTTGTAATGAAGACTCCGCCCCCTGCCCCGCCCCCTGCAGCTCTGTTGGATCGGGCAGATTTAGATGTTGGATATTTGTGTTTTATTTTGTAAATAATCTTTTCCAGAAGCTCTGCAGAGTTTGGACCTGAACCCTGAGAGGAACAGGAAAGACCAGCATCCTGCTGCCCTCGTGGGTCAGAAAGGCCCGACAGCAGGCCGGACGTTGAAATGAAACCTGAAACGTTGAATTAAACCTTTAAAAAAGTCGAGTAAAAGTTTGTGTTTTTGTTTTCGGACCGGCCCGTGAGCTCGTTCCTCTGATTTCATTTGGAGAAGGTTTCCTGGTTTAAACTAAATAATTTATACTCTGTGGTCACAGAGAGCCTGGAAGATGGAGTCTGTTTGCCTCGAGAAACTTTCAGTGATAAATGTTTTAATTAAAGTCACTTTGTGTTGTGAACTTTATCCTTCTGTCTGTGACTTTATTTTCATTTACTGCTTCAGAACTTTTATTTCTGCTCATAAATCACAAGGACAGGGAAACAGCCGAATAAAAACTATAAGTTTGTTTTACTGTGTGAAACAAAAAGATTATCTGAACCCTCCTGGTGCTCCTGGGTCAAACGGATCCATTAGGCCTCAGTTTTAGACTTTGTTCTGACCCAAGGACAGCAGGAGGATTGGGTCATATTTATCAGAAGATCTCATTTTAAGATCGTATCAGAATTATGAAACACTTTGTGGCCATGAATTGATCACTGCAAAACTCCTAAATATGATTTGTTTATAAAAACTGAAAAAATATTTTACTGGTTCTGCTCTGTTTAAAAACCACAAATTTCATTATTTAAAGTTTTTAAATTAAACCGTTTAATATTTTGTAAAATAGGATTTGGTGTTTTGTGTCATTGCATCGTGTGGCCACAAGGGGGCAGCACCTGCACCTGAAATCTCACCTGGAAACAAGTCGTCATTATATCACCGATTATTGCAACTTTTTTACTTAATAACATAATTATCCAAACTCTGAGACTGACTGGTCAGAATCAATAAGACAGTTTTAATTCACCACACCTGGTAATAATAATAAAATATAAAACCTAGACATATTTAACATTAAAGTCTGAGTATTTTATTAAATCAATTATATTAATAACTACCCCAAAACACATATAATAGCTTTAACTGCTGATTTATAGAAAACAGGCTCAGTTTGTTTCATTTGTAAACCTAAAACAAAAAAGTTAAAATCCAGTGAGGAAGTGGAGTTCAGAGCACTCGGCAGGGGAAACCAGATCCGCCTCTACACCGGGTCCCTGGTGACGTCAGGACATGTCGCGCTCTCATTGGTCGGCCGTGGCTCCTTTAAAACCTCCCTCCGGCTGGAAGCTCTGCAGCCGCAGCGCGACTGAAGGGCTGGAGGCCGCTGCAGGAGGACACCTGGTGCCAATAAACCACGAACAATCACAGAAAAAGTGAGTTTTTTTAAATGAAAGACGTTTTTTTTTTTGGCTTTTGGTTTTGCTC